TTTGCTCTGTAGCAACTTCTATATATGTTTTGGTAACTTTTAGTTTTGAAAATGTTTAATGCATTTCCTTTCTTGATACTTGAATTTTGTGTCTTTATTGTAACATTGTAGTCTTAAAAATAATATCCTGAGAACCTTTTGGTTTCATTATAAACTCTTAAATATTCATTCTAAATATTTATCTGCCATATATGTGACTAATAAAAAGATTGATGTTTATGAGCTTCTTTCCATTATTTGCAGTTTATCACATCTAACTATTGTATAGTCCATTTTGTTCCTAAAGTTTGAAATATATCACTTGTTTCATGGTTATTTTTTTCATATAAAATATGTGATGTCAGTTTTGGTGTCTTATTCTGCTGTTGCTCTACTGTTCATATGAGCCTTTATCAGGCATCTATAATACAAGTTTTGATTATTTTTTAATGTCTAGCTAGCAGTAATACCCTATTTTTAAATTTATGTTTCTTATTTACTGATCTTTCTTAATTTTCTGAGCTATTCTCAATGTCTTTGCTAATTGTTTTATTTTTCTGACATAGCATTATGTTTTTAGGTAATTTTAAGGTAGACTTGGAATCTGTAAAATGATATGTATGTATATTTACTTTGTGTAGGTTATCTTTTATTTCTTTGAGAATTTTAATTTTTTCTTCATAAAGGGTCTCATCATTGAGATGTTTTAAATCTTTTCTGCTTAGATGTGTTATATCTTTATTGCTAGTTAAGGTTAAATGAGTTATGTATTTGAATTTTATTGTTTTCCTGCCCTTTTCATTATAATAATTCTTAAGCCCTTTTTCTCCATCAATAATTTGAATATTATTTTTGTTACGATTCATAAATCAAATTTCTTCCTTGAAATGTATATGGGTTAGCCAGGTGACTGTGTATGACTTAACTTGTAATCTGTAAGCTATAGGAGGCTGAAATCTGAGGAGCATAGTTTGAATCCAGCCCAGGCAGGAAAACCTTTGAGACTTTATCTTGTTAACCAGAAAGAAGTCTGAAATGGAGGTGTGGCTCAAGTGGTAGAGCAAAAAAGATAAGGGACAGTGCCCAGGCCTGAGTTAAATTCCCAGCACTAGCACGTGTGTATGCACGCACATACAATGAATAGTTCAATAGATTTTACTATTTTTACAAGTTTCTACCACTACTAACATCTAATTCTATAACTTTTTCTAATTTTTTTACTTACTAGTACTTTGTACTTAGTTAAACCTTGTACTTACATTTTCTTACACTTTTGCCTTCTTTTAGTCTTTGAAAAGGACTAATTTACTTTCTGACTATGAATTTTCAGTTGGCACCTTTCATATGAATAGAGTCTAATATATGGCTTTTTTGTGTTTGATATCTTTCAGTTAATGCTTTAAGGTTCATCTGTGTTATAAAATGTATAATCTTTTTTGAGTGGATAAAATTATATAGATACATATTTCACTTAGACTTTTTGGCAATTATTTTTATTTTATTTTATTTTTTATTTATTTTTCTTTTTTTTCTTTTTTTTGGGGGTCCGGTTGTGGGGCCTGAACTCTGAGCCTGGGTGCTGTCCCTCAGCTCTTCAGCTCAAAGCTAACGCTCTACCACTTGAGCCACAGCGCCACTTCCGGCTTTTTTCTTTTTGCTTATGTGGTGCTAAGGAATCAAACCCAGGGCCTCAGGCATGCAAGGCAAGCACTCTACCACTGAGCCACCTTCCCAGCCCCTTGGCAATTATTTTTAATGCTTATGTGGATATAATATGTCTCTTCTGTTGGCTAGTATACATAGTGTTGGAATATTCAGGGTGGACGGTAACTCTGTTTAACATTTTGAACAACTGTTATCAAGGCAGCCAAGTATTGCATAAGTGAGAGTTATTTTTGTTTCCTTGTTGGTGCTTGCTATCATGCATATTTTAATTACAGTTGTCTCTAGTGGTATGTCACTGTGGTTTTGATTTTCTTGCTCCTAATGATTGTGAATATGCCTGTTAACATTTGTCTTTTTTGAAGGAATGTGTATTTTAATCCTTTATTCAGTTTTTACTTCAGCTGTTTATTTATATAGAGTTGTGTTCTCTTTATATTCAACATACTAAACTTCTATTAAAGATGTAATTTACAAAAATTTTCACACATTCTCTTAAGTTGTCTTTTCACTTTCTTGATAGCTTCCTGTGAAATACAAAAATGTTTAATGTTGAAGGCCAGTTAAAATATTTAAGTGCTGTTTCCATTGGTTACTTCAGAGTTAGGTCTTTATGTGTTCACTCACACGGATTCTGGGTCTTGAACTTGGCGCCTGGGCATTGTCCCTTAGCCTTTTCACTCAAGGGTGGCTCTCTGACATTTGAGCCACAACTCCACTTTCTACTTATTGGTGGTTAATTGGAATTAAGAGTCTCATGTACTTATTGCTTGCACTGGTTTTGAACCATGATGTTCAGATCTCACTCAGCCTCTTGAGTAATTAGGATTGCAAAAGTGAGCCATTGGAAGCCAGCTAGGTCGAATATCTTTAATCATTGCTAAAGGACAAGATGGTTTATACCTACTTTTTTTGTTTGTTTGTTTTTTAAGTATTTCATGATTTTCTAGTTTTTTAGGTGGGTTTTTTTTTTGGCGGGGGTGGGGGTGGTTGGTTGTGGGGCTTGAACTCTGGGCCTGGATGCTGTCCCTCAGCTCTTCATCTCATGGCTAGCATTCTACCACTTGAGCCAGTGCACCGGTTCTAGTTTTCTGAGTGGTTTTATTGGAAATAAGAGTCTCACAGACTTTCTTGCCCGGGCTGGCTTTGAACCATGATCTTCAGATCTCCGCCTCCTGAGTAGCTAAGATTACAGGCATGAGCCACCAGCGCCTGGCCTGCTTTTTAGGTTTTTGATGCATCTTGAAATATTTCTTGCATTGAATGTGAAGTATATAGTATAAAGTAGTTGCTACATTTTATATATCTTGTTTAACTGTATTTTGTTTTGAGACAGCCTATTACTGTAGTCTCTTCTGGCCTTGAACTTACAGACATACACTATTGCTTGTTTTTATTTTTATTTCATGCCTAGATTTTTACTTAGCAGGCTTTAGTAAGTGTAAGATTGTTGAAGTGATGGGTAGTAAAAATGTTTAATAAAATTGTTTCCCTCATATTTCGAGCTAGGAATTGAACCCACATTGTCACACATAGTAGTCAAGTACTCTACCAACTATTGGGCTGTATAGCCAGTTAATATAATAATTTTTAGTTGTCTAGAGTTTTAGCTGTAGATGGACTTTAACCAATTTTGATTTGTCTGCCTGGGCTGACTCAAAACTGTTTTGTTCAGATCTCAGTTTTCTGAGTAGCATTATCAGCATAAGCCACCACTGCTCACCATGTACACCTTTTTGTTTTTTTTTTGTCGGTTGTGGGGCTTGAACTCTGGGCCTGGGCGCTGTCCCTCAGCTCTTCAGCCCAAGGCGAGCGCTCTACCACTTGAGCTACAGCGCCACTTCCGGTTTTCTGGTGGTTTATTGGAGATAGGAGTCTCACGGTCTTTCCTGCCCAGGCTGGCTTTGAACCGCGATCCTCAGATCTCAGCCTCCTGAGTAGCTAGGATTACAGGCGTGAGCCACCAGCGCCCGGCTTATGTACACCTTTTTTATGGGCTGATGGATGGATATTTTCTGCTTGTATATTTACTGATTGGTTTAATGTTGTTTGTTTTTTTAAAAAAAATTTTATTCTTTAGTTCCATTTTATATATTTTACAGGGGAAAGGCTTTATTCCATATACCTCTGTTGTCATTAAGGCTTCAACTTGTGGGTACCTATCTATATCTGATGTGATTCTCTATAGCAAAAACTCTTGGCTTCAAGTTCTGCTTTAGTTTTGTGCTTTTGGAGCCCTTCCACCCTTCGTTCCTTTCAGTACCTAGATTTGAATTTCAGAATCTTGTGCTTGTAGACAGGTGCTCTGTGATTTGAGCCATGTCCCCAGCACTTTTTTTGTTTCTCTTTTTAAAGTTATTTCAATTAAAAAAATTTGCTGATTTGTTGTTTTGGTCAGTCCTAGGGCTTAAAGGTCTGGGCACTGTCCCTGAGCTTTTGTACTTAAGGTTATTGCTCTTTCACTTAAGCATCAGCTCTACCTTTGACATTTTGATGGTTAATTGGAGATGAAAGTCTTTCAGGCTAGTCTGCTTGGGCTGGCTTCAAATAATGATCCTCAGATCTCAGCCTCCTGAATAACTGGGATTACAGGCATGAGCCATGGGCGTGCAGATTTGGATGTTGTATTCTATTTTGTGGTTTTATGTAATTATAATATTGGTGAGTGTTGAAGGAAAGTGATTGTCTTTCATTTTCCAGAAATAGCATTGTTCATGTACTAAGAGTGTTGATTCGATATAAATAAATTGTGTTATAATTTACCTCAGTGAATTTTATTACTGGTTGCAAGTCTTTTTTTTTTTTTTTTTTTTTTTTTTTGGGTCCGGTAGTGGGGCCTGAACTCTGGGCCTGGGCGCTGTCCCTCAGCTCTTCAGCTCAAGGCTAGCGCTCTACCACTTGAGCCACAGCGCCACTTCTGGCTTTTTTCTTTTTGCTTATGTGGTGCTGAGGAATCGAACCCAGGGCCTCGAGCATGCAAGGCAAGCACTCTACCACTGAGTCACCTTCCCAGCCCGGTTGCAAGTCTTTTTATGTTTGTCTCAGGGTTTCAGAAATTTAATGGACATCTAAATAGAATGATACTTTTATCTCCATAAATTAGCCTTAGAACTGGAAAGAAATTCTTTGTTCTTTGCCCTGGTCAATTCCTCTAGTGGATATTGATGTGTTATTACTTGCTTTTTATTTGAATTGAGTGCTTTTTAGAAGCATTTTTTATATGTGCTAGCATAACTCAGTTTATCATATGCAACTTAGATTTTTCTTTGCAGTTACAATTATTATATGATGTCACTAAAGTTTCATTGGAATATAAAAAGCTAAAATACTAAAGCAAAATATTCTTAATTTGGGATGTTTTTAATATGGAACACGTCACGAATTTGTTTGTCTTCCTTCCTAAGGGGCCATGCTAATCTCTGTATCATTCCAATCTTGGTATATGTGCTGCCGAAGTGAGCACAATTTGGGATGTTTTGAATATTCCTTTTTATTCTTCTAGATTGTCTTTATGCTGATATTTTGCCTATTAATTTATCTGACATCTAATGGATTTCTAAAATCTTTTTTTTGCTGGGTCTGAATGCTTTCTCCAAGCTTGTTTTGCTCAAGGCTAGCACGCCACCATTTTAGCCACAGCATCACTTCTGGCTTTTTCTGAGTAGTTAATTGGAAATAAAATTGTCCCACAGACTTTCCTGCCCGGGCTGTCTTCAAACCATGATCCTTGGATCTCAGCCTCTTGAGTAGCTAGGATTACAGGAATGAGCCACCAGTGCCTGGTTAATTTCTAAAATCTTTTAAAGAAAATATTCCTGTGGATAGACATTGCATGCATGTATAGTAGAAGATGTCATTTTTTATTTTTTTTATTTTTTATGTGTTTTTTTTTTATTGGGAAAATACTGTACAGAGGGGTTACAATTACATGGGCAAGATAATGAGTACATTTCCTATCAAGCATTGTAGCCTCCTCCTTTGTTTCCCCTTCCCATCCCTTCCTATCCTCCTCCTGCTCCCCCCCAATCCTCCCCGCTCTCCCCCCCCCCCCACCAAAGTTGTAAAGTTCATTTTCGACATAACGACTTGTACATCTCATTGTTGCAATGGGTCCACCTGTATCCCTATTTAAATGATTTTTTTTCCCCTTCTCCTCCACAAATTATACCGACATCAAATACAGTGAAAGCAGGGGTTATACTGTGGGGGAAGGACATACAAAGCAACAAAGAAATAATCTTATAAATGTGTTAGAAACAATCGCATGAAAGAAAAAAACATTTGAATACATATCTTAGGGTTCATTTCCCTTAACATCACCTTTTCTGACCTTTTCTGCTTGACTCAGACATATACTAGATATTGCAAATAAGGGAACCCATGGGACCTATGTTTCTTTGGGCCTGGCTTACTTAATATAATTTTTCACAAGTCTTTCCATTTCCTAACAAATGGGGCAATGTCATTCTTTCTGATGGAGGCATAGAATTCCATTGTGTATATATACCACATTTTCTTGATCCATTCATCTACTGAGGGGCATCTGGGTTGGTTCCATATCTTAGCTATAGTAAACAGATGCTGGAGGGGATGTGGACAGAAGGGAACCTTACTGCATTGTTGGTGGGAGTGTAAACTTGTTCAACCACTTTGGAAAGTAGCATGGAGGTTCCTCAAAAGACTCCACATAGAGCTCCCCTATAACCCAGCAATCCCACTTTTGGAATTTACCCAAATGTTTACAAACAAGACCACACTAAAGCTACCAGCACTAAAGCTACTAAATGAAAATGTCATTTTTAACTCACAATTCTTAAGTTTGGATCAGCTTCCCTTGATTTGAACCAAATTGTTTAATTTAGACTTCACATACACACACATGCAAATCCTGGGGCTTGAACTCAGGGTCTGGGCTGAGCTTTTATGCTCAAGGCTAGCATTCTACAACTTGAACCACAGCTTTACTTGAAGCTTTTTTAAGTCTCATGATCTTTTACTGCTCAGGTTGGCTTCAAACTGTGATCCTTAGATTTTTAGTCCCCTGAGTTGTGAGGATTGCAGGTATGAATCACTGGCACCCAGCTAGACCTCTTTCTTTTTCTTTTTTTTTTTTTTTTGGGTCCAATCGTGGGGCCTGAACTCTGGGCCTGGGCGCTGTCCCTCAGCTCTTCAGCTCAAGGCTAGCGCTCTTCCACTTGAGTCACAGCGCCACGTCCGGCTTTTTTCTTTTTGCTTATGTGGTGCTGAGGAATCGAACCCAGGGCCTCAGGCATGCAACACAAGTGCTCTACCACTGAGCCACCTTCCCAGCCCCCCAGCTAGACCTCTTTCTTTCAACTAGTTTCTGTAGTTTTCTGTGTTTATTTGTAATAAATATTATATGTAATTGGTATGCTATAATTTTGTCATAATATTAGATACAAAATAGCTCTAATATTATTTGGCTCAGTACTTTAACATTTTGTCAATAATATAGGGGATACATAGCTCCTGTGTCTAGGTTTCATGTTTTAGTGATGGGTGATTAATTTCATTTATAGTTTCCTATAGAATTTACTACTCTGTCTCCTTGTGAAGTGAGTATGCTTACTGTTGGCATGTTTACTTTGAGTGTATTTAACTAACTCTACTCAGCCTCAGCTCATCACAGTGTTGTAAATTTGTACTAAAATAATTACACAAGATTGGAATTTTTCTTTTTCTCTAGATGAGAAAAACCCAAAATGTTGTATTGATACTATATAGTATAAATTCTGTCATACATGAATTTCCATAACTGATCTTTGATTGATTGTAGTACTCTGGTTAAATATATTCAACCTTAAAGAGAGTCCCTAAATTTTATCAGACTTATATACCTATAGCAGTTTGTGCTCCCCTTTACCCCAGCTTTAAAATAACCATGCTGAATATATTGAAAAGTATTGTGTATTCCCTTTCTTTTCTTCCATGTAAGATAGAAATTGAGCAATATACAGTACTACGTATTAACTGAGATTGCCCATCTCGGAATGTTGATTCAGTTGTTTAGTAATCTATATTCATTCTTAGAATAACGCCTTTAATTTTTTTTTTTTAACTAGTCCTGGGATTTGGACTCAGGGCCTGGGAACTATCTATGAGCTTCTTTTGCTCAAGGCGTAACACTCTACCACTTGAGCCACAGAGCCACTTTAGGATTTTTCTGTTTATGTGGTTCTGAGGAATCGAACACAGGGCTTCATGCATGCTAGTCATGCATTCTACTACTAAATCACATTCCCAGCTTCCTTTGATCTTTAAATTAACTAACCCGTATTTGTACCTTTGTCTTTTCTTTTTTTGCCGTTCCTGGGCCTTGAGCTCTGGGCCTGGGCATTGTCCCTTAGCTCCTTTTGCTCAAATCTAGAAGTCTACCACTTGAGCTACAGCACTACTTCCAGCTTTTTATGTGATTAATTGGAGAGAAGAGTCTCATTGACTTTCAAATTCAGGCTGGGTTGGAACCAGATCCTCAGATCTCAGCCTCCTGTGTAGCGAGGATTACAGCATGAGCCACTAGTGCCTGGCTAGAATAATTCTTTCATCTTTTAAGTTTTTTCCTTAATATGGTATGCATTCTTCCCAGAGTAGTTGTGAGAGTAAAGTTGACTGACACATATGGAACATTTCAGTTAGGGCCAGACACAGGGAAAGTACTCAAGGATTGTAGCTATATTATGGATAATAAATGTAAAGGTAGCAAACTAATCTTTTGTTTGGTGGCTTTACCAATTTTATCTTGGAAAGGTTTGGAGACTGGATTTAAGAGAATCTGTACTAGATAAGTGGAGGGGTATTAACTATTTAATAATTCTAATAATTTGTGCCAGCAATTCTAATAATTCTCACAATTGCAGTTAAATGTATAATAATGTAAAAACATTTGTCATTAAAAGTCAAATCAGGCTTTTATCATAGAGCAGTAACATTGTTTAGAAAGGGCTTTAGGTTTTTTAAAGTTTTTCTTAGGCACATGGAAGACATATTGAGAATTTTGGACCTATTTCAGTGTCAGTGCAATAGATTTTGGCTACAGCTGTAAGGGTACCTTATTGGAAATGTGGTGACTTGACTTTGAGTCCTGGCTTTGATGTTAACTTTGTATGTCTTTGATTAAATAACAAATTTCCTGAATCTGAGTTCTGATCTATGTTATAATATGTAAACCCAGCATGCCTCTTAAACCTATGTATTTAGAGTTGCCAGAAAATCAGATAAAATAATTGTATTGGGGCTCCTTAGCAAGTGCAAGAATCACTTGAAAGCTTTTTTTGTTTTTAACTTGCATGGTTTCTGAAAACAGCTTTTGGTGTCTTATGAATTATTTGGAAATAAATCCCCTATTGTAATTTTATGACCATAGGAATTTTGGTAACTTTTTCTTTGTTCAGTACATAGGCATTCTTTCAGATTTCATCTGTATTTATGCAAGTTGTTTGCAGCATATTAATTTATGTATTTTGTATGTCATCATGTCTTTTACACGTGGTTTGATCTTGTCTACTTAGATAGCTTATAACTTCCTGCAGGATAAGGACATGTGCCATTTCCTTTTCTATACAGTACATGCATGGAAAGGGTATTCTTATACTGAGTATTTATTGGTTATAGGTGAGAAAACTCTCTGGAATAGTAATATCAGCCTTATATATGTATCTACCATAATTTTTAGTTGTTTTCATGTATGCCTGTTTAAAAATTAAAAGCTATTCAACAGTATACTGTTTTAGTTTAGTTCCCCCCTCTCCCCTCCTCTGGTCCTGGGACTTGAATTCTAGGGCAGGGTGGTATTCCTGAGCTTCTCTTTGTTCAAGACTAGCACTCTATCAGTTGAGCCACAGTGCCATTTCTAGCCTTTTCTGAGTAGTTTATTTCTGAGTCTCATTGACATTCCTTCTGGAATGGCTTCCAACTGCAGTCCTCAAATATCAGTCTCCTGAGTAGCTAGGATTACAGGTGTGAGCCACCAGTACCTGGTCTACTTTAGTTTTTTTTTTTTTTTTTTTTAAGTGGTATTTAAACTGCATGTATTGGAATTTAGTTTTAATTATTTTTTTTCTTTTTCAAACTGTCTTCTGTTTGGCCGAAAAATAGTTTATTTTTTTAAAAATGTAAGTAGCTGTACAAAGGAATTACCATATAACAAAGCAGTTTATGAATACAGTGCATCTTGAATCAGTGTCACCTATCATCATTCTCATCCACCCACCCTGACTCACCCCTTCCTTTAACTTTGTAGATTTTGTATTATATACATTGAATTCTTGGCTGCATTACCCACCCCTTTCTCCTCTTCATTTTTCTACTCCAAAGGGAGTAGACTGAGGAATTTTTAATGCCATATTTTTGGGGAATGACATTTCTTGAAAATAGTCATGATTGAACAGAATTCTTAAGAAAGAATTAATTAGAAAGTCATGATAACAGAATTTTTAATGATGT